ATCCTCTCTCTCTGCCTAACAGATAGGAAGAGACCAGCTAATCAAACCCACTGTACATCAAATTTTCAATGTGATATGTCAATGGTGCGTCAATAATTTCAGATAATGTTCCCTTCAAACCTTGGTTGATATGTAATACTAATGCTTCTTATATTCTATATAAAATTGTAAGGAAAGCCATGCAAATTGTAGAAAATATGATCAGTGTAGGGATGAAAAAGAAAAGAAAACCACGGTTTGGTGAAAAGTGGTCTGCTAACTAATAAGAAATTGGAAATCCCCCCCCTCCCTTTTTTTTTTTTTTCTTTCTGTCTTGAACCAATCGACTGAAAGGAGGAACGAGAGTGAGGCAGAAACAGTAATGCAAAAACAAGACAAAGCAAAAGAATCATTATCATGATTCATGATGGATGCTAAAGCTAATGCCAATATAATAAATAATAATCATCATCATAACAATGAGTAAGTGATATGCAGGTTATGAGGGAGAATCTGCTAATAGTTCTTTTTCACTTTGCTTGCTGTTCTCCTTGTCCCCCTTTTACTGCTATCATGCCTCCCTCACTCCCTCCCTTTTCTTCCCTGCCCGTATGCACTTATCAAAGATCAAACAAAGATGAAGGACTCCATGTGCTTAATTCCATGATGCCAGTTCTAGAATATATATCCTCTGCTTGCTGCTTTCTCTTCTGTCTTCCTAGGATATAAATTAGGTAGTAGGTAGGTGGAGGTTCAAAAAAATCCAAAGAATAATCAGGCAGGAGGGGACCCTGACAATAATGATATAAGTAGCTAGGTGAGTTAAACCAAAAAATGATTTAAGGAGGGAGCGGGTAGGGTGAGTTAATAATAAAATCTTCGCGTGCGCTGAATCGGGGCTCAGACTTCCGTAATTGCCATGCATACCCGTTTTTGACGGTAACGCAAAGTTCGTCCTCATTCCATTTGGTGCCCCCTTCAATCCCGCGCATCAACGAATTCATCGTTGTCCGACTCGATGGAATCCTGCCTATGCATTGGTCGGCTTTGCGTTTGGCTTATTGCGGGCTGCAACGGCGTCATCAGATCCAACATGTGGTGGGAGTTTGCGGAGGATTGAACGTGGTGATGAGTATGGTCATCATGGCCATCACCACCTCCACCCAGGAGATCCATGGAAGCCGACGAATTCACTGTTGATGTCCCCAGCTTTGAAACTTTGTTCTCATCGGAGTGCGCGTTGCCGTTGCTCCCGTTACTCTCGCCAAAGTCTATGAAATTGCCATTGTGCCTTGTGGTTGCTGTTGCTGCCGTTGTTGGTATTGATGCTGATTTTCCGGATGATGACGAGGTGTATCCACTCGATCGTGCTGAGTGGGGAGGTATTGCGAATTGTTGGGATGGCTTTTGGCCAGGGAGAATTGGTGCGACAGATAAGATCTGCTTCGTTGCTAAGGCCGGGTTAAAGGGATCTCTGTGATGTGAAAGGAAGGGTTAGATACAAATTAGGAAAAATACGAGAAATAGGGGTAGTTAAGAAATCCTTACACATGAGCCTTCAGAATCCAATCAAGATCCTCCTCCCCTTCCTCTGATCCACCTGGCCCACCTCGAACTGCCCGGAAAAGCTTAGGCCGCCACTCAACACCATCTTCCACGCGTTTTGATGCCTCTAGCCGTTGCATATCTTCGACCTTGGTTTTCTCCTCAGTGGCAACTTCCTGGTTCCGAGCAAGTAAGCCTTGGACGGTCTTATGCCAAAGCCTCTGTGATTCACGTGAATCCTGCTCCTCGAGTGGCCTGACAAGAGGTGGCGTATGTTTCGCATTCCTGGCGTTGAAAAGAAGGTCCCTCTGGCCAGTCTGCATTCTGTGTCAGACTAAAAACACAATAAAAATGGGAGGGGATGGAAGTAGGCGGCGTTGCTTGCACATACAGCAACATTCTTTATAAACATTTCAGCGTTCCAGAGACCCGATAGCTCATAAAGTATCTCACCAGTTTTCTCGTTTTTTATGAAACCCCCTATTGAATTGTCTGTTCCAGAAAAGTAACCCCTGGTTTTGAACTCTATGTCTGCAGTCAGATTGTTCTCGGGACATTTCACCTCGCTGTGGCCTTTGAGCTCATACTTCAGTTTTCCCCAGAGTATACCTTGAGCGTACATGTTTGGTTGCGTGACGATACTGCAGATTAAGTAATTAGCAAATGAACGCCCGTTGTCAATCATCAACAGTTTCAAACATACTATCTTTCACCCTTCCCGTATTCACCCCTATTCAAGAAAGATAATATTGCTATCCCTTCCATCAAACTTGCCGCAGAATTTCCTAGAAATTTGCCCCGCGGTTTCAAGGTACCGTCTATTCGTATGAAGTGTTCAGGGGCCATGAAAAAGTAGCTCGACTTTGGAGGGTGGTGGGAAGTCTGTTCAGCGATGTAGAAGCTGCGGGTGCCGTCAGGGTAATCCCAATAACATGTAAACGTTTCCCCCAAGATGGGATTCAATGGTTTTTTAACCCCTCTAATATCCCGCCCACGGTCAAAAACAAAAAAAAAACCAAACAAAACATATTAGTTACCATGTGCTCGCTTATGGGGTAGATGTGATCTTCCTCAATACGTACGGAGGTTTTATATGCCACCCACTAAGGTAGAATTTAACCACAGAAACGAATCTTTCGACGGGATCGTCAATAGTCGGCATCGGAAGAAGGGTTTCGGGATGAGCCATGAAACTGTCGATAGTTTAAATTTTCTCCATTAGCATTTGCTTATTCCTCCACTGAAAGCAAAGGCGGAAATATATAACCCATCAAGCTCACTTGGTGATTCGTTCCAGCATCGATCGAGGTTCCAGTATAAAGGTAGGTAGAGTGACCCGGCCCAAGTCCGCACCGGGCCGTAGTTGGGCAATTATATGACTGAGGACTGTCCAATTTTTGTTAAAAATAAAAACAAAACGTGAAAAGAATCAGTAACCTTGAATTTATATGAAAATTGCACCTCATGCAGAAGGGATAAAAGGGGAGGGAGGGGGAAAAAGAGAGCATATACCATTCCCTTGTTCCGGCTCTATCACCGTCTCCTCTCCCATGGTAGGTGAACAGGACCTGCTCGATTCATCTAACGACGAGACACTATCTATACAGCCGCATCACAAACAGTTAGAAGGCCTCTTTCAGGCACAGCTCTGAGCTAGAAACGGGAGGTTGCGGAAGACATGGAGAAGAAAGTGGCGGCAATGCATGTAATGTATCTAGAGGCGGAGGCTCCTGACGCACTATTTACGGAGGACCGGTTGCTTCTGTGGCAATGGACATGCTGGGCTAGTGAAAGCTTTGGTAGCATTGCGACCTTCTTCCTTATCCCAATCCTTCGGTTTCTTTCCTCGTCCTTCCAAATTACGGGATTTGCAGATGTACCTAGCGCGATTCGGGGTCGGAAATCCGCGGCGGCGGTGGAAAACGTAAATCAAAGGGAAAGAAAAAGAAACGAACTCGTGAAAGTCTCACAGGTCAAGGCATTGAAGATGATGGTGAAGAGGTTCGGAGAGATGTCACTATTTAGGAGGGCGGATTGGCAAATAAAAGAAAGAAAATCAAGGGCGGGGACTGGGGGTAAATATTGATGGCATCAAACCGCGAGGGAGTGTGTGTGGGATATTTAAAAAAGCGCACTTGTTTTTTTTAAAAAGGCACGGACGGCTTTGAGAATGGCTTCAACAACCGTCTAAGTTCCAAGACACAAAGAAGGGAGAGGCCGGATAGGGGGGTAGGTGAGGATACTGGGGGCTACAGGACGGGCTAACGAACACACTTGATATGGGTGTGAAGTTTTACCAGGGAGAGAGAACGAGGTCGCGGAGACTGGGAGCAGGAAGAAATGGGGAGAGACGAGAGTGAGTGAGTGGATGGGTTCGGGTCAAATCTCACGGCAGAATCACGGGTAAGTATGACGGAGACCCGCAGTTAGGTCAACAGGAACTAAAGAACCAAGAGTCCGTCCTGTTGTGCCAAGCTGAGAAGAAGCCCAAGCCCATATGGGTTAAGAAGAATGTATATAACTAACTAGTTAACTATAACTACGTATATTATATAAATAACCCGGTTGAAATACTGCTGATGTCACTAGTTTTCCCAGCTAATTAGCTAGATAACACCAGTCCGCTTCTTAGTCAAGTAACAACAAGAGAGAAAAAGGAAAAAAAAACAAAAGACAAAAAACGAAAAGCGTAGTTGGGGCTGGTCAAGTAAGCTTTGTGTCTACGTCAACCCTGATCCATCTGTTCTGTTGGCTGGGCGCACCCGCGACCACACCGGTCACGTGTCTCCTCCACATCTGCAAATCTGATGTCGGCTAACCTCCAACGGTTGGTTAGTTCAAGGCACTTGAACCGTTCATGCTTGAGTAATTAACTAACTACGGAGCGTAGTTAGTGAAAAGCCGTCAGTTATAATAACTAACCTTAGGGGAGATCAATTACCGTGGCTTTTCTTCTCCCCTCGCTCCGGTAACTCTCCTTACCCTTTGCTTTGCGAGTTTGCTTCGATGGGAGACCGGGGGGGATTCTCCTCTTCACTTATTTATTGCAAGCCAAGCGGGCTGTGGCGAGGTTGTATCGATTCTTTTTTAAGGTTCCCCCTCCAGCGCTGATCTTGCTTATCTGTCTGAATGTAATTATCACCACAACTCATCAATCCATGTTCAACCTGCACTGTGGAACCATGGTGGTGATCATATCATTGTGACTAAATGCTGGCAAAAGGGTCAATGGAATTCACAACGTTCTTTTTGTAGTTAAGCGAAAAGCATGATAAATCCTATACCCACCCTTTTCTCACCTAAGCTCAATGCATCCAAGCGGACAACAGAGATCCCAGTCTGGAATTATAGAAGAGTAGTTACGGAGTAGGAACCCGAGAGGCAAAAAAAGGAAAAGAAAAAAAAAAAAAAAAAAAAAAGAAAATAAGAAAAGGAAAAAAAAGAAAAAGCATCCTATCCGGTTCCATTCTAGGTTCATGCCGTCCCTGATATTCACTCTCTCCCTCCTAGCAATTCCTCCCCTGTATCTCATCTACAAACCCCCCCCGCTGCTAATCCGCTACTTACAACGCCACTACCCCGATATCCTCTGGCATGTCCCAACATCCCCAACCACAGCCACCAACAACGATTACTGTCCATGCAAATGCCCATCCACATGCACATGCAGCAACACAACCAATTCCAAAAGGGCTCTAATAGCCCTAACAATTGATGATGGGCCCAGCCGTTACACCTCTGAAATCCTCCAAATCCTCAAAGATAACGATGCGACTGCCACATTCTTCGTCATCGGCTCTCACATCAGAGACACGGATGGAGACGCGGATGCAGAGGCAGAGACAGACACAGACCCTCAAAGAGAAACACTCCTCGATCTCCTGCGCGCTGGTAACGAATTAGCCAACCATGCCATGCACGATGAGCCGTCATGCCGTCTATCTGATGCAGAGCTGACAGCCCAGATAATGGCCGTAGAGCGCAAAATAGGGCGTATCTACGATTCTGCAAACGCCAATGACCCCGATGCATGTTCATGCACCTCTTCTGAAAATAATCTTACTCCCTCTGCTGCTGCTACTGCTACTACTACTGCTACTGCTACTGCTGCTACTGCTACTGCTACTGCTACTGTTACTGCTACTGCTACTGCTGCTGCTACTGCTACTGCTACTGCTACTGCTACTGCTACTGTTACTGCTACTGCTACTGCTACTGCCACATCCCCACCATCAACCCGTTTAATACCACCAAAATACTTCCGTCCAGGCTCCGGCTTCTTCACCACGCGCATGCGCCGCGTCCTGGCCACTCTGGACTACAGGCTAGTGCTGGGCAGTGTGTATCCGCACGATCCACAGATTCCCTTTTGGAGCGTCAATGCCTGGCATGTACTGAGCATGGTGAGGCCGGGTGCCATCATCGTCTGTCATGATGGGAGGAGCTGGACGGCGCCGATGCTGCGGAGAGTGCTGCCAGTGTTGAAGAGGAGGGGGTATCGGGTTGTTACGGTTACAGAGTTGTTGGGGGGGGGTGTAAAAGTGTTCTTAAGGGAGGGTGGTTTGGGTTTTGATGAGACGGGGGGATAGAAACCTATATGGGAGGGAAATATGAGAGGTCTAGTGTTCATATCTACTTCTTCTATGTAATGACCATCACGCCTTGAAGTCAACTCTTAATGCCCAATCATCGCACTTCAATAACGGGGACATCACCATGCGTGATATCGTGAAGAACCACAGGGTCAGGTTGGTATAGCATGACATGGAAGTGCTCAATCCCATGGATGGACTTGAGAGACTTCCAGTTTTTGAACCAGATGACCTACAGAAGTGGGTTGGCATGTTAGCAGACGCAAAAGCAATCGGATTTCACTTGTTGGAAGAATGGGAGAACGCGGAGAAGGAAATAGGAAAGGATTCCGGTCCTCTTTTCAAAAGCAGGGGAAAGGAATGGCGTTGTTCTCTCACACCTTCTCGGCAGGCATTTTGGAGCGAAAGATTCTTTCGACAAACGCATCGATCTCCCTTCTCATACGCGGAGTCAAGTCATCTGTAGCTGGATCATCCTCAAGCTCAAACTTGGTCCAGACGACGAGGTGGATGATGTCCTCTTCCACTCCGTATGGCCAGTCATTGTAGAGGATTTTGAAGTCATCTATAGACATGACGCATCTCATTTTAGATGCCCAAGTCAGTAAAGCAAGAGAGGATATTATGTATCTCATCTAACCGGGAAAATAAAGGGTGGGATGCAGTAGAAACTACACACCAGGATGTTCAAACGGTCTTTGGCCCCTTGGTTCCAAGTCACCGTCCCATCCCAGTCGCTTCTGAACCACAAAACTCAACACAGAGCCATATATAGCTTTGACTTTGGCAATGAATTCAAGATACCTCCTCAGATCAGAGGGCGCACGCTGCAGGAGATGTATCTGATTCGAGCCTGTTTTTTATTTTTATGTTTATGTTTATTTTTATTTTATCTTGTTAACGATCACTCTGTATTATCTCCTAATGCCTTCCATCTATAGTTAGCAGACATAATAAAACTCACCAACTATAGTTTTCACCAGCTCCCAGCTCTGCCGCTGATATTGCGTATCCGGCGTAGAGAGACACTGTATTGACTTTTGAGGCAGGTTGCGAAGGTACTCTGGACATTCGGACGGCCACTGGGATCGGGGAACATTAACCAGCCAGTAGGGCAGCGGTTCAGCTTCTGGTTCTGATTTTGGAGCTGTGGCTTTCTTGTCAAAGGGTTTAGGCATGTCCCCAGGTACAATAGTTGCAGCCGAAGTTTCTGGAGGGAAATGAGGGGCGTTGATGTGAGGCATCGTGGCCATAAATAAAATATCAGATAGTGGACGGCGGAACGAAGGATAGATTATGAAGGTGATAAGCAGAGCTACGTGTTCAATTATTAATTGAAACAAGCATGTCACTCCCCAACGTCTAACTACCCCTCAGCCTCCCTATTATTCTCGTGTTGCAGGTTGCTGTTTTGAATGAAATGGTTGGATTGAGAAGATATTTTGTCACGTAGCTATACTCAGGAGCTCAGCCGTGAACACCATTATAGCTATTGTTATGTCTCTTTACCAGTCGAAATCCAAATTAAACAATGTAAGCAGCTTCCCCACCCCGAACTCAATGGTTTAGTGATCACCAACCAGAACATCTACCCCGCCTATTTTGAAATAAATAAATAAATAAAAACAGAATAAAATAAAATAAAATATATTAAATAATTCAACGAAACTAAATGTATATAGCCCAAGAATTTAAGATTATAAAAATTTCTTTAATTTAATTTTTAACAATGATATTCCTTAATATTTTCTTTGTAGCTGTAATAATACGTAGTAGCTTAATTCGCAACCGCGTCGTTTCACGCGGCAATAGCTATGACGAAGGGAGAGGCAGATCAGGTTAGCCCTTCTCTATCTAAGGGGTATAAGTTCTTCATCTATTGCGATGCCCGCATGATTGGAAATGACCTTTGGCGCTTTGTATCGTTCAAGGAAATCGCCAAAACCTTGCCCAGGAGCTTTCTCGTAGAGGTGCCAGTTTTTCTTAATAAATGACTTTATAGCTCCGCAAAGTATTCTTTCAATCGGGGTTGGTTGAAAGACCATCGGCTATTACTTGTGAAAGTTGCAACAAAAAGATCATGAGTGTGTCAGAGTGGACAAGACAGTGTTGTCAACTCTGTCAGAAGTTGAAAGATGCAAAGGCATATGAAAGGCCATATCAAATTTTCCCAGTTCACCGCCGAAGTGCAACAGTTTGCAATGTAGACAGGTTTATTTAATTTATTTTTTGATAAATATCTCAATATTAGACTGTTAGTCTTCATTTTTCTTTTGCAGTCAACTAATAAACTGTGAATTATAACCTGTCTGATGATATTTTAACACTTCTAATGAGTCTATGAGTGCAAACAATTCTATATTACTATTTTATCACTGTATTGCAGAAGAATAATCTAACTATTAAGTTACTAATTACATCTCTATAAAGCAGCTGACTGGTAGCTGTTTTGTTTCATTTCCCCTTCACTGCAGCTATACGAATATGACTGAATAACACTGTATATTCATATTCAGATGTTATATTGAGGTGTTGCAGTTGCCAGCAGGCCGATATTCACCTTATCTGGTCATGAGGCCGTAGCGAGTGACGCATGCTTGTGTATTTAATTTAAATTTCGTGGTCAACTCGCTTGTAGATTAAGTTACGGTAACACTCGAATCTGTGATGACTCAGCAGTAGATAGAGTTGCAGGAGTTTCTTTTCCTTTAACCACAAACAACATCAGTCAATCAACCAATCGTAAATTGGGATTAACCCCCCCCTCAACCCCCCGCGCCCCCCTAATACTCACAAAAGGCATCCCCCATTCCCCAAGTCCCTTACCCGCCTAACTTCCGGCCCATCA